GACAGCCGCTAATTCATTCGTTAATGACGGATGCTTCTCCACATAGAACACGGAACTGCAGCTTGATGATAACACATACAGCATGTTTTAACACAGCAAAATCCAATATTTTCACACTGAAAATCAATCTGTGACTGTGACTTCACTGATGCTTCACAGTGTTAAGATTTCAGGGGTGAGAACTGTACGATAAGTAAGCGACAAATATAACAACAGAAACCCTACTCCCATTTCTTTCACAGAGACAAAATGTACTAGCACAGGAATCGTATTGTTAACCCACACGCATTCATATTGCATATCGCTAAAATGCATGTGTCCTTGTATGTTGACAATGTGTGTGACAGTGATACCTCTGCAGTGTGGTCCCTCATCCCAGCCGTCTGTACAGTCTGGAGCTCCGTTGCACAGTTTGCTCATGTGGATGCAGAGTTCTGTTCCTCCACACTGGTACTCATTGGGAGGGCACCGCGATATGCTGCTGTATGGACCTGAGGAAGACAAACACAAACAAGGTCAACATAAGTTACACTTGCATTTATTAATACCAGCCGAATGCCATTTCCAGAGAGTGTTTTCTGCAGCCATTTTGTTGGATAATCTTTTGTGTAAATGAATAAATGTCTGTTTTGCTAGTCTGTATCTTTTAAAATTCCACCTCCACTGACTTCATGAACAATAATTTTTTTATCTTCTAAATAAATGTGGTCACTTTTTCACAAGAAACAGCTTTAATTCTGGTTCCGTATATTGTTTCCCATTAACTGATAAAGTAATAATTTATTAATTTTACACATGCTGTTTGGAGACGATCACTCCTAAAAATGGCTAGGTACATATTTAACTAATATTAAATTAAACAGAAAGACCATAGACATCTCATAATATTGTGGATGACATTATAATGAAACCATTAATATAACCCAAATATAGTCTTTCTCGGTTGCATTATTCATTTTCATCTGATGTATATTGAACGTGTACTAGATTAAAATTGTATATCAAAGTAAGATGAAAAGATAAAAACTACTAAATTACTTTGGTTGGATTTTGGTCTGTGCACATCTCAACTAAAGTCACTAAAACTGTTCTTTCTGCTCGGGTTTCCAATAACAACGATTCTCAGCAGGCAGAAACACAAGTGCAATGTGTCATTCCAAAATGGATACCACAATTGCAGTGTACCAGCTTATCTATGAACACAGCTCCAGCTCTGCCTCTCCACACACCCTGCTGCAAGAGGGTTTGTTTGGAGCCATGAGGCCACATACACTATGTTATTGTGTAGCTATAATTTCCTAAGATTGGGTTAGGTTAGGTTGGGTTGCCTTGGAATCTTTGTCATATGCTTTCTTTGTATGTCTCTTCCATCCATTTTGCCTTGACTATAAACTGTTCAGTAAAGTAGAAATGCTTTAGAATCAATCTTTATAAAACATTGCCCTTTCATTCTGGCAGTGGGTGACAGATTCTCTGACAGACAGCGGGCACTCTGTGTGGCTGACAACATATTTGTCAGACTGGAGCGACACAGACATGTTTCTCTATCATCTCCCCCAGTAAGCACATCGAGCTTTCTGTATTCATTCTTTCATATTTGATGGATCTCATCATAAACTGTTATACGCCCAGATCCAGAAGTAACCTGCAGTGGCTGTGCAGCAAACAATCTGGCTAAGAATACAAACAGGTGAGATGAAGACGGGCCTCCAAAGATTACTCATGCACAATCTTATTTGAAAGCAATGGCAAACAAAGATGCTCAAGGTCTTAAACCGTTCCTGATCAACAGAGGAACAAACTCTCCTGTTCTAAGCACATGGAAATACACAACAGACAGGCAAAGGGCTGATACCTTGTGGTTGGTTGGTTGGTTGGTCGACATGGTGTTAGTTAATAAGGAGAAAAGCGTTTCTTAATCGTGTTGTGCTTTATACTGCTTATATTGCTGCCGTATGTAAATGTACGTAGTAGACAAGTCCTGAAGGTAAAGATATAGCTATGTGTAAAAAATAAATGGTCAAACAGCAGGGGATCATTGTCTTGGCAAAGCCGTGAAACTTTGATTAGCACCCTGCAGCTACCAGGTAGAGTGCACTAAGTGCATTGTGGTTGATTTAGTTAACCTAAAAAAAAAAGAGATCAGCCAACAACTAACAACTAACTACTTCTTAATTGAATACTTTTGGATTGCAATTCTTTAAATCTTTGGATAAACTATCGTTTTCCCTTTATTCTATAAGCGTCACATTCTGGTTCTTCACAGTCCAGACACATTTAATAAGACAATTGTGTAAACCTTCACTTAGTAAATACATTCGTAATGGGGCAATGTACGTCAGAATCTGTCTGACTCAGCAGAGGGATTGATCAATCACACACGTGCACCTTGCGGTAACTAATCAGAGCTGTAATGTCGGGAATAACAGAAAACTTTTACATATTGGGAAACCATATTTGTGTAAGGTCATCTTCTTGTACCACGCCTGTCAGCATGTGTCAAACTAGTATGCTTAAATAAACTGTTTTTACAAGAACATCACAAATTCAGACAAATTCATGTCAATGTATCAGACGAAACGTCTCATTCTAAAATGATTTGTTCAAAAAGAGGAAATGTTTATTCCCCTCTTTTACTAATACCAGTCGTTTTGTTCCTTTAATTTGTTTCCCAATACTTCTGCCTTCCCCTTCTCATCTGTCATAGATTTACATTCATCTTTTCTTCTTGCCAACTTAGCAGGCAGAACCACAAGGCAGAAATTCAAAGAACCACTGTGGCAGCAAATGATGGCCAGTAGAGAAAACTAGCAGGAATTACAAACACACCATTACCTTAACTGGGCCTAGCCAAATAACTACCTTTGCTATATCTACACTGTACACACATCCATCCAAAAACACTGACAATGAGCACACCAGTGTAGTGGCATGCAGGCCTGGTATTTGCTAAGAGAGGACTTTGAGATCCCTGGGAAAGAAAACATATTCATCTTGGGTGAATATGAGTTTGGCCAAAACTACTCCCT